GAATCCGCTGCAGGCCGTGAAAGACTCAGATGAAAGTTTGTTGTAGTCATTTATGGCAGTCTCTATTTTTTTTGTAACTAAAGTTTCCTGTAAAGGTAGCCAAGTTCCATTATGTTTTTATCTCCTTATACTCTAAAGGCGACCACCACCATCAAGTAATAATAATGTAGTAGGAAGGAAGCCTAATAGCGTCTCACGAACCGTAGATTTTCTCTTAAGCACTTCCTTATTAAGAAGGATTAAGATAAAAAAATCAAAAGGAAAAAAGCTTTCTTTTCCGGCCTTCTCTATACCCCTTATTAAGGACACCTGTCTACCTTATCCATTTCCGCCGTGTCACAAGCATGGGAACCATTCCGTTCCATCACAATGCTCTCATCCATTTAAAACACCCAAATGTGATCACAAGTGCAACAGAAACTACACAGAAGAATTTGAACATGACAAGCACTATGGTAGTGGTTTTATCTGCTGGCCATTCCATCTACAACGGATAATCTAAGGTCTGGTGTCATATAGCGTAGAAAACAAAGAGGACGCAATCCGCAAGGAACTCATGACGTATGGCCCCATCGAAGTAGCTTTTAAAGTGTACACGGATTTTTTCCACTACAAAAGGGGTATTTACAAGGTAAGTACACAGTAACTTGCTTGAAAAACTTACCAGATAACTTAGCACACTGCGGGTTTCTTTGCCGGAGGACACGCCGTAAAGCTCATTGGCTGGGGGAAGGAGAAAAAAACTCCTTATTGGCTAATTGCTAATTCTTGGGGAGAAGACTGGGGCGAGAAAGGTAAGACAACAACATCATGTATTATTGTTAGAAAAGGAGATTGAGAAGGAACTGGATGCATTCACTAGTAATTTATCGTTTCGAGAATTGAATTGCTTTCTAGTACTAGTGCAATATGTGGCCACTCAGCATTCTGCTAATGATTTCAGGACTTTTCAAAATTGTCCGCGGCACGAACGAATGTGGTATTGAGGGATATGCTGTGGCAGGAATACCCAAAATTTAGATGTTTTATATTAGAAGAATGAATAATAAATACATAGCCTGCATTATCAGTTCTGTATCAGCACAGATTTCGAAGCAATTACCGCGTCAACTTATACAAAGAGACGAAACATCTAGTGGGATATGAGCAGATCAAAACTCTGCCTTTAATAGTTTAGTAAAATTAAAGAAAATTAAAATTAAAGCATATGGATACTGAAGCAAATTCGAGCATTTCCTTGTTCCAATCCAATATAACTCATTTAGCTGCTAATGAAACTATACAATAATATCCAAGACATCTTGTGACAGTGAGCCGCACCTCTGAAGATGAGGGATTCTAAAAGAATATCTGTATGGACAGTATACTTCTAGAGGCGGTAATTGTGTGGTGAATGAATTTGAAAAAGCGCAAGGAATGGGAGAGCTCCTGTAATTTCGGCAGTGAGGTAGTGTGCTGCAGCTGGCCATATCCACTCTTACTCTCCATGATTGCGCGAGCGGCGGAACCACGAAC